GCCGCCGCCTCGATGAGAGCCGCGCCGCACCGCGCATAGCCGCGCAGGCTGACAAGCAAAAGGACTGACTTCCCTTCCCCGGGCATCCTCCCTGGGCTGCCGGGAGGCGGCGGCGGCGGAGGAGGAGGAGGAAAAGGGGAAGAAGGCAGAGAGCAGGAACGCGAGGAGGTGGACCTGGATCCGTTTCTCCCGACCAGGACCCGAGCGGCCCCAGCTACCGCCACCCGCCGGCGCCGTCCCCTATCCATCAGCCCCCCTGCGCCCACCCGCGACCCCGCGCTCCCTGCGCGTCGGGCCGGGGCCGGAGCTGCGCGGCCGCAGGTAAGAGCCGGGCCAGGCTGGAGAGCCTAGGATGCGGCACCACGGACCCAGAGTGGTGGCGGCTGCGCTGGGCCGGGCCGGGCTTGGGAGCGGGGCCCGGAACCCGGAACGCTGGGCTCGGCTCTGGCGGCGGAGGGAAACACGAGCCCTACCCTCTAGGTGCAAAGGCTGCAGGAGCCCCTGCGCCTGCGCTGCTCCGGGGGAGAAAATGGGGGGAAAAACTTCCTGCCCCCGGGTGTGTGTGCAGGGGGGCTGCCCGGGGCCACTGTCGCGGTGGTCGGAGGTTCTGGAAGCGAGTGTGACCCCTCCCCCAGGCCAGGGCAGCCCCCCTGCTGGGCCCGGCCGCGCGGCTCTCCCCGCCACCTCTCCGGAGCGGCCCAGGGCCCGGGTCGGGCTGGGGGCCAGGAGGCACTGGAGGACTAACCCCGGGGACGGCCGCGCGCCCTACCCTTTGGGGAGGTGCGCGTCTCTGTGCTGTGAGAAGCCAGGCTCAGGTTTCTGCGCCCTCGCACCCTCGGACCTGGATCTCTTAATTTGGGGACCCGGTTTCTTCACTCAATCCCAAGTAACTTTCAGGTAGAGCAGCCTGAAAACCGTCGGGAGGGAACCTCACAGACCTTGCTGTGAACCCCCCACCACCACCGCACTTCTCTTGACACCTTGTGCATTCCGGCTTGTTTGGGGGGGCGAGGATAGATGCGCCCACAAGGATGGAGAAGGGGTGAAGAGATGGTGTCGGGTTGGGAGGGGCTGTTTATGTGTGCAGTAGTGTGGACCTGGAGACGTGTAGTGTGAGAGTGTGAACGCGCGCCCCGACTGCCGCGGGGGGGTGCGGTGTGGCTGAGGGCTCACGTCCGGGTCTCGGTGGCCTGGAGCCGGCGGAGAGCGCGAGGGTTATCTGCGGTCGCCGCGCGGGTGCCCGCGCTGGGCAGCGTCAGCTCCGGGCCCCAGGGAGGAGCGTGGTCGCCCGGGGCCGGGAGCACGGAGCCGAGAGCCCGGTCAGGTCCGAGGCGGCTCCCGGGCAGGTCGGGTCTGCCGTGGCTGGGGAA